GGGGCAGATGTGATGTCCAGGGGCGGCCCACGTCACGCGGACTGGACCCTCCATCCAGACCTGATGGTTCAGACGTGGCAGAAGTTTGGCAAAGCAGCTGTGGACCTGTTTGCGACACAAGAGAATGCTCAGTGTCAACTATGGTTTTCCCTGAGCCCGCGAGACGATCCACCGCTGGGGGTGGATACATTTGTTCACAGCCCATGGCCCAAAACGCTTCTGTACGCGTTTTCCCCCACCTCCTCTGTTTTTACGGTTCCTGAACCGAGTTCAGGAGGAGGGATTGACAGCTCTCCTGGTGGCTCCCGAGCACGTGAACGCACCATGGTTCCCAGTCCTGCAACGTCTGTTGTCGGGTCGCCCGTGGAAACTGCCGTGGAGGGAGGACGCTCTCCTTCAAGCAGGAGGAGCGATCAGGAGTTACCCAGAAATAGGCCAGCACCTGTGGGTCTGGCCGTTGAGCAGTCCCGCTTAGAGAGGATGGGTCTCCCACAGGAGGTAGTGCGCACAATCCAGGATTCACGTGCTGCATCTTCCACAGCTCTGTACACATCAAAGTGGACGGCTTTTCAGCGCTAGTGTACAGAGAAAGGTGTAGAGGCCACCTCATGTCCATTAGGCGGTGTGTTGTCCTTTCTACAACAGCTGATGGATAGGAAGTTGGCATTCAGCACGATTAAAATGTACACTGCAGCCATCTCTTCCTGCCACGAAGGGTTCGGAGACAGAACAGCTTTTAATTACCCGCTGATGAAGTGGTTTCTAAAAGGCGTACAGAGACGCAGGCCTGCTTCACGCCCACTTGCTCCACAGTGGGATTTAACGCTGGTCCTGCGAGCCCTGATCAAAGCTCCATTTGAGCCTCTGGATCAGGTTTCACTTAAATTCTTGTCTCCTAAAACAGCCCTGCTGCTGGTTTTAACATCCGCTAAAAGGGTGAGTGATTTATCTGCCCTCTCTGTCGCTCGGTCATGTCTCAGAATTCAGGCTGACGGTAGTTCAGCTGATTTAAGACCAAACCCAGCTTTTATGCCTAAAAACATCACAAGCTCTTTTAAATCAAGAGTGATATCGTTGGAGGGGTTTTTCCCTCCCCCCCACAGATCAGAAGAAGAAGCATCTTTTCATCTTCTCTGTCCGGTGCGGGCGTTGACCTGTTACATAGCGCGCACAGCTGTAATGCGTCAAACTCAACACCTGTTTGTGCATTATAGAGATGCATCTGCAGGTCACCCGTTATCCACCCAGCACTTGTCACACTGGCTGTGTGAGGCCATTTCTGAAGCCTACAAGCATCAGATTTAGAGCCTCCTGTCAACCTCAAAGCACACTCGACCAGGGGTATCGCATCTTCGACTGCCCTGCATAATGGTATGTCAATGCAGGACATTTGCACTGCGGCTGCGTGGTCAACACCCTGCTCATTCATTCGCTTTATTTACGTGATGTGACGGCTTGTTCCATGACACATTCTGTCCTTAGTGCTCTAACAGAATGAATATTATTGTTTTTCACGGAACTTTGTTTAAGCTCACTTCTGTCTGCATGCATTACAGTGTGAGATGTTATCAGTCACAAGTTGTGTCTGTGATTTTGGTTCTATTGTCATTAATCAGTTCATGACTATTGTTACCAATCAGTTCATTTGATCAATAA